CTTCTTCCTCAGAAGAAGAATTGGAAGAGGAAGAAAGAAAACGATATGGTTTTTGAATTGCACGTTTTTGTGAAACCTCAGTATTTTTCTTTTTTGTCACTTCCGCAAGTTTTCATCATTCGTTGAAATATCTAAAGTATTGTTCTCAACTTCTCTCGCTTCTTTGAAAGTATCTTTATATCAAATATAAAATAAATATTTAATTTCTATAAGTTACATATATTGGAAAGAAATATTTATCAATTACATACCGAAAGGTCCTAATAATTTGGAATATGGAACTGTTATCCACTTTTCTTGAGGCTTTGTTCCTCTTTTACTTTCATTAGTAGCATTCTTATTTTTGGGTGGCCATTTAAAAACTTGAGACTTTAAGATAATTCAAGAATCCGGTATTGTACCATTCCGGTATTGTACCATTCATCCCAAAAAACAACAAAATACGAGTACATGTCTGAAAATTAAATTTTATGTATTTTATTAGTTTTATGTGTAAATAATATTTAAATTATTAATTAGGTCTGAATTACTTTAATTAGACTTATATTTATCTCAATTATTTATGTTTGAATTACTTTAATTAGACTTATATTTATCTCAATTATTTATGTTTGTTTTCAAAATAACAATAAATAATATTCAAGGCCAACATACCGCAGTATAATTCCTAGGTTAATTAATCAAAATCATCAAATCCGAAGATATCTTTTCCATCCTAACGTAAAATAAATAAGTGTTAGCAAAATTTGTCACAAAGTATTAAAACACGTTTATGAATAATATATACAATACTTATACGAACTGATTACAATGGGAAATATACAAAATAATGTTTACGAACCCTTCGGTCAGTAAGCTTATTGTTCACCGAATGTTAAACAAGGATAAGCAATAAATCATGCGCATTCATACATGAAACGGAACGCAGCCTATGGGTGCATTTGAGGAGACACTATTCGCGGCGCGAATTTTGACGCTATTTATCGCTATCAGCTGTTTGCGAAGCTAGCTAATAGCGCTATTAAACGCAATAATGACAATTTATGGTAGATGGTAATTAATTATATACATTTTTTATTTTTGTAGATGATATGTCATCTTTTCAGGAGCAATAATACAAGATTTAAATAGGTTACAGTTCTAAGATCTATTCTTTTCAGCTGCACTTGTTGCAGTATTAATCTTTCCTCCTTTTCTCTCCAACGTAGAGAAAAAAGAATGTAGTTGTAATGAAAACATTACTGATATTTCATACTAATGTTTAATGTTAATGGAAAAATTATAAATGATATAAAATCATAAAATATATTTGACATGATATTCACTAAATTTATAAAAAATAAAAATATAAAGTGTAAGGCTATAAAAGTATAAAATATACTTTTATATAAACTATAAAATTTACTTATAAACTATTTATAAAAACTATTATTACTATTATAAAAGCTATTATAAAAACTATTAATTATAAAATATTATTTATAAAATATTCATATTAATATAATTATATACATTATAATAATATATTATATAATAAATATTAGAAAATATTTTTTTATATTTTTGATACTTATGTAAGAATTCATACATGTTATATTTTTTATACTGCTGTATGTATAAGAGGTAAAAAACAATATGATTTTCCATATGGAACACATACAGCTTTTGTACAAACATCATCAGAATTAAAAGTTTGTATATTTGACCATGTATTTCCTACAACAATGTTAAACTGTAATGAACTTATAGGATAATTCTCAAGCTCAACTGGATTTAATAAAGTTTTTCCTTTTAAAATTATGTTGTTATTATAAATACAAATATTTGTTATGGACAGAATATTATTATTTTTTAAATAACAAAATCTATTATTAATTTTCTTGAAAGTATGAAATCTTTATAAACAATATTGTCGAATGAATCTATTCTTGTTTCCGCGGACTTTTTGGCATTAAAATTTTTTACTTGTGGTTTTAAAATTGTGTCTATTTTTTTACAAAAATTGCAATTAGCTCGTTCAACAATTCTATTAAACAATTGTTGTAATGGTTTATCACCTTTTTTTAATTGTTTCTTTATACTAAATAAGAAACTTTCAAAAGGAAATCTGCTGAAAGAATCTAAGTTGCCAAATTTTGCAACATCATTAGATAAATGAATTAAATTGTGAATATTATTATATAAATCATGAATTCTTCTCCATATAGATGTTGACATGTTTTTACAAAATAAATTAATAAATCTTTAGCATATTCATTATTATTGATAATACAATCTGTTTTATGGCATAAGATTCTAATTGCACAATGCAATGCGTTAAAATGTATCATATATTTATCAGATAAATAATTTTGTAATATAACAGGACCTATATATAATAAAAATAGTCGTAACTCAGTAGCTTTCCACCGATCAATTTCATCTAAGCTGCGGGTTTTTCGTGCAAATTCTGCTGGAATCCATTTTGAAATACGTTTTAAACTTGCAAATATTTTTTTTATCATATTTGCACTAAACTTAACAGACTTAAACTGTCCTTTAACAAAAAGTTGTAACATTTTTTTTACGACAGCAAGACAAACAAGATGCATATAATCGAGGGGAAATTGACTGATCATTCCTAAGTTTACTTGTTCAAAAATAAATGTTCCATTGTGATGATCTTCATTTTTCCTTTCAATGAAGTTTTCATCAGTTCTTAATTCTGCATTGAGATCAAGAAATACCATTCTATAAGAGATGTATTTACCTCGTTGTATGCATTTTGAACAGCCAAAGTAACCATTAAATCCTTTTGTACATGTTACAAAAGATCGAGCTGGTGTATCACAAATGACCGCCCTAATTGTTACTTTAAATTGTAAATTTCCATCAAACTGGAAACCCTCATCATGTAATGTTTTATATTCTTTAATAAATCTTCAAGAAATATATTAGGACATTCTGGCTTATTATATCCATGATAAGCACCAATAATAAATGGTTCAGCAATTACTGGATAAATTTGACCTAATATTGGATATAATTGACTTTTAGAACTTTTCGCCAATGGTTAGGAATCCATCTATATTAATATTTATTTGAATATCATGAGATACTTTATTTATATCCAAAGCTTTCAAATGATCATTAAGGCGTTCTTTAAACCGTAATGGAAATATTGACCTGGCGATACATCGCGTAACATAACATTGTTTGATGTATGCAAAAGTGTACGTGAATCCAATGGAAGATTTTGTAACTCGCTTTTCAACATTTTTTAAAACTTTTAATAAAGCTCCTGTTGCTTTGTGACTGATGTTAAATCGACATACCCATTGCATTAATTCTTTTTTAAAATTTAATTCTGTTTTTTTTGTATTAATTACTTTGTATGAACATAGTTCAGTGTCCATTTCATTACTTAATACTACTTCATGTACATGACATTCATTTTTATGATCACAAACTTCTGTTTCAATAACCGAATAATTGTCTTGTAATATATTTTCTTGTGGTGGATACACATTATCATTACTACTTTTTTTATTTGAACTGCACGTTAGATTGCAGATTTTACGAACAAGTCTCCGATTCCTTTAACTTTTAGATAAATTTCTAAACGCTTTTCGTTCAGACATCTAAAATATATTAATCTAAAAGTTTGCGGTATCTATAGGTGTATTATTTTCATTCATTATAACCTAATAGAGGATTAATTATTAATTTATTCTAAGATTAATATTAGTATATCAGTTAATGTTTTACTTACTGCGAAACGTACCGTTGTATTTTTTATTATATTGTACTCACTTATTAAAAGCATTAAATGTCTATTCACTTCTAAGCACTAAATTTCTATTGTATTGTACTATCAATAAAAATGTATTTTTATTAGCACTAGTACATACAATTTTTTAGGTTAAGCCTGCCTCTTGAATATGTTATTTTTATGGCTGCGGTCAAGACTGCACTACGAATGCTCCGAAACATCATTCTATCTTTATTCTCATAGAATGTAGAACAAAGATAGAATGATGTTTCAAAACATCCAGAGCGTCTTCTCGACCGCAGTCTATGATATCTTCTGAAACATTAAATGGATCTCTCATTAAAGATATCATAATTTTGTCTGGTTTCTGAGCTGTCCATATAACAGCGCATGTGCATTTGAAGGCTCAGAAACCATACAACATAATGATATCTTTTATGAGAGATCAAACTGATATCATTTAGCATGATATCAAAAAGATAACAATTTCAAGAAATCTCTCAAATGAGATATCTTAAAGAGTTCTCTTAGTAGATGCCTCTGGTAAATGATAATTATGAGATACCATTTGGATATCATTTTCAAGATAACTAAATGTTTTCCTCAAGAAGTTCTCCTAAAGTTTTCATTCTGACAAGCGTGTTATCTGGGTATACTAGCATATAAAAAAATAGATACCATCCCACACAGCATATAAGTCAGAAAGATTTCTTTAAGCTATCTTTTTAAAGATAACTTTTTGAGTAATGAAGGAAGATATCTACTAGATAAATATATTAAGATATCTGTTATAAAAAGGTGAAAGAGGTCTAAAAGACATCTTATTTAAGAAGTGTTTTATATAAGATGTATTTTCTTTAAATCGATATCAAAATGTCATCTTGAAAATGACAGTAAACTTGTAGTACATGTGCGTATGCGCACTCGCGCACTGCGGTGCATATAAGCAGTATAGTGAGAAAGCATGTTTCTATCCTCAAAATTAAAGATATATTGAAATGTTATAATAATATTTTAGTTTAAATATTTCGTGTCTATAAAAGAAAATCAGCACGTTGAACACTGCGCGACAACGATTCGTTCCGTAGCCCCTCTCTCGCGGGGCAAAGAGAGCGTAGAATTGACCAATCAGCTGGCAGCGTGGCAGTGGCTTTAGATTGGTCAGAGGCTACGCTTCCCTTGCCCCGCGAGAGGGACCAGGGAACGAATCGTTGTCGCGGAGTGAACTCTACATATATTGTTACGCCCGCGACGTAACAATATGTAAAAACGTATATGTAGAAATAATTAAGACTGCATTATTAATTCGAAGGTTTTAAGGTTATAAATACAGGTAAATTTATTATCTTTAGAAGATTAAATACATTTATATTCAATTTTTCATTCTTTATTTATTAAACTTTTCATAAATCTCTCTCTCTCTCTCATATATATATATATAACATTTCAATTATCAATAGAATATAGCTGTTTTATTTTTTAGGTGATGCGATTAAATAATAAAATGTTAAAACGAAAATTTAAATATTTATCTAAAAGTCAAAAAAATAGACGCCTCAAGGAACTTTGTAATTCTTTGGATAATAATCGAAATGATATTAATAGTCTAATATCTACATTCAAAAGTATTAAATGTGGCAAAACAGTAACAAAAGAAACTACAAGTGATTCTGAATTTCAAGATGATAAATTTATGAATTATGTCTTGAAAGAATCGAATAACAAAAATACTATCAATATTTTCATAAATAATCACAATGATTGTGAAAGTAATTCAATAGATGAAAATCAGGTTACAAATGGATTTTATAAAAATGTATTACAGGAAAAATCTCAAAATTTTAATAAAATAATGGCACGATGGGTGTGCAATCATGGCATAACTCATGAAGCAACTGGCGCTCTTCTAAAAATATTAAGAAATGCTGAATTAGATCAATTTCGCAATCTACCTTTAGATCCAAGAACTTTACTTGGAACACCAAAATCAACAATAATTCGTAGTGTACCACCAGGTGAATATTTTCATTATGGTTTAAAAAATGCTTTAACTGATCAATTGAGAATGATTGGTATCAATAAAATATCTCATGATATCCAGATAAATGTAAATATTGATGGATTGCCAATAGCCAAAAGTTCAAAAAGTGAACTTTATCCCATTCTGGGAGAAATTTATCCAAAAATTTCCGAGCCATTTGTAATCGGAGCTTATCATGGATATGAGAAGCCTAACTCCTGTAATACATTTCTGAGAGAATTTATTGATGAATATAACATTTTACATAGAAGCGGATTTAACTATTGCAATCAAATTTTTACTGTTATTGTACAATTAGAGCTGTAATTTGTGACAGTCCAGCACGATCTTTCATTACATGTACAAAAGGTCACAATGGCTACTTTGGATGTGGAAAATGTAGAGAAGAAGGAAATTATTACAATCATCGCATGTTATTTTTGAATTCGAGTGCAGCTTTAAGAACAGATGAAAATTTCATTAAACGTATTGATGAAAATCATCATACTGGAACATCATTATTTGAAGAAGCAGATTTAGGGATGGTCTCGCAATTCCCACTTGATTACATGCATCTTGTTTGTCTCGGAGCTGTAAAAAAAATCTTACAAAAGGTAACAAAAGGATCTCATAAATGTATTAAATTTTCTGCTAAAACGATAAAAGAAATATCTGTAAATTTAAAAATCATAACAAAATGGATTCCATCTGAATTTGCTAGAAAAACTCGGGAATTAGAATATCTTGATCGATGGAAAGCGACTGAATTGAGATTATTTTTATTGTATGTAGGTCCAATTGTTCTTCAAAATTATTTACCAAAGAAATATTTCATCCATTTTATTTCTCTACACTGTGCAATCAGGATTCTTTGTCACGAAACAGATTGCAAAGATAATAATAAATATGCTGCAGATTTATTGGAATATTTTGTAGAGAAATGTACTGAATTATATGGTACCGATTTTTTGATATATAATATCCATAATTTAATTCATTTAGCCAGTGATGTTTTAAAATTTGGTCATCTTGATTCTTTCAGTTGTTTTTCATTTGAGAGTTACTTATATAATATTAAAAAAACACTAAAAAAGGCAGAAAAACCTTTACAGCAGCTGCACAATAGAATTGTAGAACGTATTGCATGTAATTTTGAAAAAAAGAAAGATTTATTTTTCGAAAAACCTACAGTGACATGTAAAAATCATAAAATATCGAAAGAACTTGGTATTACCTCATATAATATTATACATTTTAATAAATTTACACTATCAATAATGAATAAAGCAGATCAATATTGTTATTTGCAGGATAGGACTATCGTACGCATTAAAAATATTTGTTTAGATCATGATGAAAAACCTATTTTAATTGGAGAATTATTGATGAATTCTGTAGCTTTTCCAAATTATCCTATTGATTCAAAGGAGTTTGATATTGCAGTCGGGAATCAATGGTCTCAACAGACAATTATCAATGCAAATAACGTTAGCAAAAAGGCTGTATGTATTCCATATAACAAATCTTATTGTTTTTTGCCCTTGCTACATTCATCTAATTGATTATTATTTTCAATCCACAGTATAAAAAATAATGATCTAAAATTAAGAATTTAAAACTTTATTATTATATTATTATAAATTAGTATTAATTATTCCTTTTATTGATTAACATAATATATATAACAATATATATGTAACATAATACATATAACAATATTCGTTTATTTGCATTTGCATTTTATTTTTATTATGTATCGATCAATAAAAGTTTCAAATTTTGTTTATCATTATTTGAATTTACGCGGCATACCGCTATCAAAAAATCTGTTGTTTTAAACTGAACTAGATGTACTAGTTTAGTATTTTTTCCACTCTACGTTGAAACCAGAAAGAGAAATTCTGAACCAATCCAGATAAAAAAATAGATCTAAAATTAGAGAGATAACCGTAGTTTTAAATAATTTAATTGTTTACAGGTATATATGAATGTGCTTTTACGAATGTATTTTTGTGTAGCTGTAACAAAGTTGCAAATAATTATAATAATATAATTTTCCTTAAAATATCGGTATTAAACGCATATGCAAATAAAACTATAATGTGCTATTGTCATTACGAAAAATAAAACTAAAATCAATTATGCAAATAAGAAACGGATTAATTAAAGTGAAGGAATAAATAAAATAACCTATATTTAAGGTTATGCTTAACACTTAAGTTTTTGCAAATTTATTATTATTAAGTGATAAACTTAATTTTTGCCGCTAAATATTGTATATGTAATATTTAGCGGCAGAAATTAAGTTTACCACCTAATATAAATATTTAGACAGTTTTGTTTTAAATATTAAGTGCTATTTCTTTCTTTAAAAATTAATTTTAATCATAAGATATATGTTTTCAATTTATTAAATATTTTATTCATAGTAAATAAAGAACCGTTGTAATTGTCTTCAACACTTGACTCAACAGTAGATTATTATGTATAAATTACTTTTATTTAACATGACTAAATTGTCACTATATATCGTTTGCAATTGATATTGTGATAAATTAAAAAAAAATATTTCCATTGATAAAATCATGTAAAACTGATTAAAATTACTTTAAAAAAGTAATCTTTTTCATAAGTAAATTTATTAATTATCAATTTTACATGAATTTTTTTCTAGATTACTTCTTAAAAAATTGTTAATTCGACAAATATGTATTTTATTGTATTTTGGAAAGAGTGGTGTGCTACCATACCAAGTTGTTGGTTATTTAAGGAGTCTAAAATTTTTAAGTGGCCACCAAAATCTAAAAATCCTACACTTGAAAGCATTAAAGCAACATTGCCAAAAGAAAATTGGAGTACAATTCATTATAACAGGTTTATAGGACCATTTGGTAGGTTTAAAATATCAATGTATTTTATCTTCAGATTTTTAGTATATATTATTTTGAATATATATATAATTTTGAAGCTACATATAATGAAGCTAGAAGTATTGAAATCGAAGCTCTTAATATTTCGACTAATGACGAAGATGCATTTGAAACAATCACAAATAAAGCAACTAATTGTAAGCCACTTCCCATGAAACGTGCAATCAAAAAACCATATCGACTTTGTTCTTCCGATGAAGAATATGATAAGAAATCATGTAAGTATTTAAAGTCATTTTAATTTTACAAAATTTTACATTAAGAAATAAAAACATTTTACTTTTTAATATTTTGTCTTAAAATGTTATAAAGTTCTATTTCTCATATATGTATATATTTTTATAGATGTTAAAAATAAAAGACTTCCGAAACTTCAAAAAAATAATATTTCTCTAGGTGAAGATAAAGAATCTAATGAAAAATCTGATGAAAATTCTAATGAAGAATCTGATGAAGCTGCAGAACAAATTCTAAAACCTTACAGTAAATCATTACAAGAAATTAACTGATTAATTATAAATTAATAATAATATATTAATTTAATAGTTTATTTAATAGTTTATTTAATTTATTAATTTATTAATTTAATAGACTCTCATTTTCTTATAGATATCCAAAAGAGTTTCCAAAAACCTCCAACCAATTATATTTCAAAGAATAATAATAAGAAATTTACAAGCGAAGATGAAGCATGTAATAACAAAATTTGGAATATAATCGATTATTTTAATATTATTCACTTTAAAATTTTGATTAAATTTATTATTCCTTTATTCAATAAAACTTAAAATTTAAATTTTGAAAAAATGCATTTAATCAATTTTTTCACAGGTGTAGCAAAGTGTTTTGTTGACAATGAAAACAATAACATAGGTTTTGAAAGTCAACCTTTGGAATATGGAAATTTCTTTAGTCAGGAACCACTTCTAACGAAACAATCTGAACCAACAAACAATAATGTTGAATCAAATAATGAAATATATATATCTGAAACATTAAATGATCTAAATGACACGAATCAACTCGACGAACAAATATCGTTGCAACAAAATATACTTAGTAAGTTAAAAAAAACGAAAATTGAAATAAATTTATGTTAATTAATACTAACAAAATAATTATCTTCGTAGATTCAGCTCAATTGGATAACGATAAAATATTAAAAAATAATTCAATTATTCATAATGTCATTGAAACTAGTAGGTATTACTTACATTTATACATTCAATAAATGAAAATTGATATAACATGAATTACATACAACAAACTTATTCTATGTAAGATTATCATTACCTCTAAAAATTAATGTATTAAAAAAAATATCAAGTATTAATCTCTATAAAAATTCTCTCTGCAGCACGTATACAAAATAATACTGACCGACAAAACGAACGACGTACGTTCGAACATCATGAATTATGTTGCGGTAAGAATAATTATGAACTTCTTATCTGTTGGTTGATTAAATTGTAATATATCCGATTTCTTTTTATAGCATCCTGTCGTAGAGATATTCAGACAATTAAAAAAACAATAAATTCAGTTTATCTTCTTGTATTGGATATGAGTAATGAAGCACCTCGCGATGCTACCAATAATCTTGCTTTAAACTTGCCTATTACATCAGAAAAAGAATTGAAAGACTTTGAAATATTACTAAAAGAAGATGCTGCAGCTCGGTCACAATATGTGAGTGATTTCATATTGTATTTCAAAATTTATGTAACATTTTAGCGTATATATTTCTTATTAAACTATGTTTTATCAATTATTTCTAATGTATTTTGCTATAATTTTTTACATTGAAAATGTCCTTACATATTTTAATTAAAGTTAAATATCATTGCATCACAGAAAAAAATGATAAAAAATATCGGTGGTACAACTTTCCAAAAACATGTACGAAATGCTTTAACTGCTACCTTAACTGATCAAATGGCATATAAAATGTCATGGACAGGACAAAAAAATTCGCTAATGGTAAAAGAAATGAAGATTATAGATTTGATAATTGGTATTTATCTTTTTGCATACTATTTTATTATTTGCTTATTATTTTTCATTTTTCTTTAAGGAGTATGTTAAAACTAAAATTTAGATATTTATACGCTTAGATATTTATATCATATTAACTTTTAATGAAAACAAAGATGTTTTGCTTCTAATTTACATAGTTTCTTTTCTATGTTACATATTTATGTAATCATTAGTGATACATTTTACATTTTCTTTTTTTATATTATTTTATATATGAATAGTTTACTATAATATAAAATTTTATCTTTATTGTATACCTTTATTAGTTAAATAATTATTTATAACTACTTATTTATACAAAATAAATTTTTAGAATATAACAATATTCAAAAAAAAAATCAATAAGAAAATTGAAGCATACTCCTTTATTATCCATTATAACTATCATCATATTTAATAATGATGACAATGATTATAATGAAATTCTTTCTTATTTTTTTATAAATTAATGTTGTACATATATATTTTCTATTTGAAGTTCGTTAATATAATTTCAAAAATTGTGGAGACTAAAAATTTAGTGCTTTATAAAATATATATCTATATTCTATCTATATGTTCTAAAATATCTATATAATCTAAAAAATATTTTATATTTTAATTATTTTTATTTTTCTATTTCAGAGACTATAATTAATTCTCGATTAGATTCTACGATTGATAAAATACAAGCTGTTATTAAATCATGGTTACAACATGCTGGCGATCGTCTTCCTAAAGAAGAAAGAACAAGCAAAAAATAAAAATAAGCATTTAAGATAAGATTAGATTTTCATTAGATCATATTAAGTAATATGATATTACTTAATATGATATTACTTACGTAATATGATATTACTTAATATGATCTAATAAATATTCAAATTCTAATAAATATTCTAATAATAATTCTAATAAATATTCAATAATATGATCTCATAAATATTCAAATTACCATATTTTATGTCAAATATACAAATTACATATTTTATGTCAAGCATATCTGAATATTTTTTTTAAGTGATTATATGTAGACACACATACATGCACGTACGTACGCACACACACATATGCATCTATATCTGTATGTATGTATGTATGTATGTATGTTTGATGTATGAATGTATGTATGTGTATGTATATGTATTATATAATAAATAATTGTTAAAATAAATTAAGTAATATATTATTTCAAAATAGCTATTGAAATAAGTGATACAAAAATTAGTTTAATATGTTTCTAATATAAATGGCTTGCTTTCTTTCTACACAGGAATCTGTAAAAGTAAATTCTAACTTATAAAGTTATCATTTAATGACATTAAAATTTTCATTACAAATTTTAATGTCATTTTTAAAAATTATTTAATAATAATTATTCAAATAATAATTATTTAATAATAATGATTATTTGAAGTAGCGTTAATTGAGAACACCAAAGAAACACGAAGTCTCTGTTGAGATGTTTAGTTTGACAGTATGAAGAACAGAGAACAATTGATTATTCTTTATATCTTTATTTTTCACATTGTCAACAATAGCTATATTGAAAAAAATTCACTTTGGAAAGCTTGCTAAAAATATTTCACCAAAGACTTTGCGTTTTCTTAGATCTATATTCTGAATCCTCTTTTATTGATAAAAGTGCCTCTAAAAGACTTATAATTATAAGTCTTTTAGAGGCACTTTTATCGATAAAAGAAAATTCAGAATATGAATCTTAATGTTTTGAATGCATAAACAGGATGTCTTATTGACATCATAAACATGAACTCCTAAAGATATCTAGTTTAAGATATCTTTTTGATATTTATTATAAGATATCTAAAAAAAGTTATCTTTTTGATGACTTCTACAAGAAGTCCTTTCGTTCTCTGGATATGGCGCATGAGAGCTCTTTCTGATCTCATTATGTTGTCTTTCTAAAAAAATTTTTAGATATCTATATCTTAAATGAGAGAACATTAAGAATTCTTTCTGTTATCATCTTGCTGTGTGGGATTATATTGATTTCTCTTTAAACAACCAAATAGCACATGGAACTCCTATGGACGTCCAATGGACATTCGAGTTTGGACGTTTAGACGTCCATAAGATGTCTCAATTAAGTTCGATGGATGTCCATTGGATGTCCATAAGACATCGGTTATTCACTACTTCGGATGTCCAAAAAACAATCCAAAAAAGGATCGAAAATAGATGTCATTTTCAATGCCCTTATCATTATAATTATTGTTGAAATAAATATTTAAAACTTTATAAAGGTGAGGTTAATGAGTAATAAAAGTTTGAAATGTAAAATTAATTATTTATATATATTTATAAAATAAATTATATTATAAAATATCAATATTCTAAAACTTACATACCAATATTATTTAATTGTCAGTTTGGACTTTTAAATCACATAGGATAGTTTGGACTTTTAAATCACACATCGCACAGAATCACATTAAACTTATACAATTTGAACTTATAAATTATGTGTAATTAAATTATAGTTTAAACTTATAAATTATATATAATTATTAAATCACAGTTTGAACTTATAAATTATATCATAGTTCGAATTTATAAATTATATAATATATATCTTTATATGTTTATATTATTTATATTATTTATATATTATTTATATATTATTTATATTATTTATATTATTTATGTATCTTTATATGTTTATATTATTTTTATAATAAAACAAACATGTTAATAAGCTATAAAAAAACAATGTCAAATATAAGAAAAAAACGTCAGATATAATTATAAGAAACAGAGAATTATAGTATTAATTACTTTCGCATGTTGCAATTTTTTTTCGCATCACATCGTTCTTTTGTCCTCCTCAACCATTTTTGGCTTTTTCCAATTCCAATTTAGTGTAAGAATCACAATATGCAGTACCTGCAGCTGTAACAGAATAAGTAATTAATATACTTGCGAAGATCACTGAATTTATTTCTTCAATAAATTAATTTTGCATTAAAAGTTGAAACAAATACATATATGGGTATATATATACAGGGTGTCCGTCGATTTTCGACCTTAATGAAATAAATAAGTAGATTAGCTCGAATTAAGAAGGAATGACCTGTATTGTTTTGGGATTGTCGCAATAATTAACGAAATATTAAATAAAAAAGATCGGCCAATCTGCGTGAGTAAAAGCGCGCGGCGACGAGAGTCGTCCCACCGTAATCCGATACTACGAGCGCGGCGAAGCGGTGGGCGGGTCGCTCTCCGAGACATGATGGTGGTTTGCGATATATCGCAATACCGCGCCGAAAAATGACCCGTCCCCCCTTTTCGTGGCGAGAAAATGATGCGCTATCATTTCCACACCATCTTGCGGTAGATAGCATGGTGCGCTTTTTTTATAGTGGTTTCCCCCATAGGCCTATTCCACTCTCAATTTAAAAATTATTCAAAATGCCATTTACTATACGCTGAATATATCGTTAATGTAAAAAATTAATGGACAGTACCTTTACAAAAATTGATTCGTGGTTGAAAATCCCTCGATAAAATGTATTACACACGTTGATAATGTGATACGATGATAAAATTCTTCAAGAATCTTTTCTTCATCTCGTACACGAAGACGCACTGCTGGGCCGGTTATCCCGATATTATGCACGACACTCAGTTTCACATAATTATTGCACAACACGTAAAATTGTACGGCCACTTGGTTTTCGTGCACGCCCGAGAAATGATTCTATGTAAATTGCGGCCGCGCGATGAGTATTTTCTCCTGCTAGCCCGTATGCTACAATCATGTCCGTATATTCCTGCGGAGTATACTTCATTTTCACTGGTAATTAACTGCGCGAACATAAAATTTTTACTAAGCGTCTTAGCTCTCGCACGTTGTTGCCAGACTGAGTACGCCAGCAGCACGCAACTACAACTGAGCGGACATGTGAGTGTAATCATAGTGCGCAGGCGTCGAACTCACACGTACGCTTACACTCGCATGTCCGCTCAGCTGTCAGCTGTAGTTGCGTGCTGCTGGCGTACGCAGTCTGGTAACAGCGTGCTAGAGCTAAGACGTTTTAATAAAAATCTTGTGTTTGCGTAGCAAATTAACAGAGAAAATGAAGTATACTCTGCAGGAATATACGGATATGATTGTGCCATACGGACTAGCGGGAGAAAATACTTATCGTGCGGCCGCAATTTACATGGAATCATTTCTCAGGCGTGCACGAAAACCAAGTGGCCGTACAATTTTACGTGTTGTGCAATAATTATGTGAAACTGAGTGTCGTGCATAATATTGGGATAACCGGTCCAGCAGTGCGTCTTCGTGTACGAGATGAAGAAAGGATTCTTGAAGAATTTTATCATCGTATCACATTATCAACGTGTGCAATACATTTTATCGAGGGATTTTCAACCACGAATCAATTTTTGTAAAGGTACTGTCCATTAATTTTTTACATTTACGAAATATTCAGCTTATAGTAAATGGCATTTTGAATAATTTTTAAATTAAGAGGAATAGGCCTATGGGGGAAACCACTATAAAAAAAGCGCACCATGCTATCTACCGCAAGATGGTGTGGAAATGATAGCGCATCATTTTCTCGCCACGAAAAGGGGGGACGTGTCATTTTTCGGCGCGGTATTGCGATATATCGCAAACCACCATCATGTCTCGGAGAGCGAACCGCCCACCGCTTCGCCGCGCTCGTAGTATCGGATTACGGTGGGACGACTCTCGTCGCCGCGCGCTTTTACTCACGCAGATTGGCCGATCTTTTTTATTTAATATTTCGTTATTATTGCGACAATCCCTAAACAATACAGGTCATTCCTTCTTAATTCGAGCCAATCTACTTATTTATTTCATTAAAGTCGAAAATCGACGGACATCCTGTATATATATGTATATTAACATATTTTATGAAATTTAAGATGATCAAATTCTTAGAAAATTTTAAATTTTGTGTATTAGCAATGTATGAGCAAAATTATTATTGTTTCATATATGATTAATAATTTCTTTTATATATTCTATCAGGCTGCCGCATTTCCCAACAATATTTCGTGCTGACACTTATTTTAATTATATATAGGTACTAATATTTAAATAGGTTATAGTCTGCGAGACTATAACATCCCTCCCCCGTTAAAAAAAGAAAAACGGAGGTTTAAACGAAGTTTTTCTATAATACAAATTGAATATGATATAATGTTTTTTTCCCGTTTTACAATGTTGATTACAATATTTCTTATATTTAGCTTATACCCTTTTTGTTTTTAAAACCGTGTGCTTTTATTTCTTTTCAATATTGGTTTAGGCATTCTATACGATTTGTCAATTTCGCCTACTAAAGTAATAACAATTGGTTGTTTAGGTTTTCTTTTCCTATGTTGGATAATTATCCATGCTATTAATGCTATGACGATTAAAATAGTTATTCCGCTAGAGGCTGTTGTATAAATAAATTGCTTTTGTTTAAAAAAGTTACTGTCGTTATTATTTAAGTTGTCATTAATTTCTTCTAGTTTTTTACTTAGTCCTTTTAATTCTAATGGATTATTTATAATTTCTTTAAATTCGTAATCGTGATTTTGTGTGTCGTTAATTTCTGTGATCGTTATATTAAATTCTGGTAAAAAGGTTTCTATATTTGTATTATACGTAACCGTTTCTGTCTTTATCGTCATGTCTGTAGTAGTTAATTTACAGTTATCATATAACGTAATTCGACCTGTGTTTTTTATTATTTTTTTATATTCAGGATGATCACTACATTTTATCGTAATATATTGCTCGAATGAAGTCGAATATAACCAAGAGTGCGGCTGTTGTAATGTGATCCATATTGCGTGAGTCGCTTTCTTATGACCTATATTACATTGATTGCGATAGTTTTGTCCTTATACATAAATTTTCGCTTCGCACGATGTATTTTCGTTAACATGATAGATCGGTTGATTCTTTTCGCATATATATAAATTATTATTATTTATACACTCGTTTAAATCTTGTTTTCTTAGAATTAGATAGGTACGTGTTTCTTTATTTACAGCAATCAATTTATTAGCTACTTCCGTATGTATAAAATTATTTTCGTAGTTAGGTGTCGGTAACAGAATTACATTTAAGATGTCAAACATTGGTTGTGTAATTAATGGAAATTTTAAGATTGTGTATATGCTTGTTTTCTCGCAATATGCGCTTACTTTTATATAATTTTCGATCGTTAGCCATTCGTCGTTTTTTATTTGAAAAGGAAAATATGCTCCTTGCGGTAACTGTGCTATCACTTCTTTTAAATGTAGAATAATTTCATTTATCGGCGTTAACAAAGGATGTATTGTGTCCTTACGTACATATGTAAGATATTCTAAAATGTCTTTTGCATCCCTAATTAAATCGTTTATCATTGCTATGATTATGGTGAAATGTTCGTCTATCTCCTCGCGCGTAGTGTATTCTCTAATGTAGTGGTTCATTAATTTACCGTTATAATCCAATATATTTTCTAATTTATTTAAATGAATTATATAGTGGTGTTCAGGACTTTGATTTGATTTTTCGCGGCGTGTTCCAATGTTTGCTGATTATTTTGTAACAACTGTATTTGTTCGTCTATTAATTTTCTATCGTTCGCATCCATAATTCCGAATAAAGTTTTCGTTATCGAACCTATTCCATCGATTAGACCTCTACGTTTATTCGTTCGAGTCTTATATAAAGTATTTATCAATTTTATTATTTTAGCTAAGGTATTAGCATCATTATTAATTATTTTTTTAAGATTCTCGCAAGTTCGTTGGATGCTTCTTTCGAAATTAGCCTCGGTGCACATTTTGCTTGTTTGTTTGATGTATTGGTTTACTTGCCATGTTCTATCATTTAGTTCAGTTATATCTAATTTAATAACTAGCTTCCACATTCGGTTTGTTTGATGCAGGTTTCCAATTTTTTCATAATATATTCCTGGCGTGTTATCAAATTCCGCCATTTCGAACGGAAGACGGGTTTCGTCTTTCTTGGTACGGACGGGGTTGATTCCCAGCGTCAGTATTCTGTAATTATATATTTTAGGTATTATATTATGTCTTCCTTGCGTTTTCGTCTTTCTTATCTATTACTTTTCTTGACTAACTCCGCGGTTAGCTTATTCTTTGCTGTCACTTTCTTGTTATATTTCAACGTGAAAGGTTATTTTTTGCTTCTCTCTTTTTTTTTTTTTTATCATGTGTACGATTTTAGAAAAGTTTATTAATGAGGAGTGTCTGTTGGATTTTATTGAGTTGACGTCGCGAGTGCCCGCTGATGAAAGGATATCACTTCCTGAGCCCTTCGGTCAAGCTTGTGACCGTGTATATTCACGGGGACCATATGGTTTGTCGGTGCGAGTGGATTTATCCACCGGCACTCGACAGGTCCGTTTGAAGGTGCCCTGGGAACCATTGGATCTTCCTGGGCTGTGGGCCCGTCTTCGTTTCCAGCGGCAGCTGGACAGTTGCAGCTTTTGGCGGCTGGCCTGTGAGCGCCGCGCAGGCCGTAGCGGTGTGCTGCAGCCTCTTTCTCGGTAAGTTCTATTCATTTTTTCCTTTAATTTTCTATGAATAATTTTAATTTATTTATGTGCATGCGCACGGTTTTTCTTCCCTTTTTTACGGTGTAATTTACGTCTGAATGTTTTTCTAAGATCGTATATGGCCCAGTCCATAACGATTCTAATTTCTTTGATCTTCCTCGTCGCAGAGTTTCGTCGTAAATCAATACTTTGTCGCCTATTTTAAAATGTGCTTCCTTTGTACTTTTATCATACTGCTTTTTTGCTCTAAATTTTTCTTCTTTTAAATGTTCTTTCGCAAGCTGATTAGTTGCACGTAGTCTTTCTTTTAATTCTTGCGCGTAATCATCGTAATTGTACGTCGGTTTAGGCGGTTTAGTTAGCGCTGTCGGAATTTCTGCTTGATGTCCGTATATTAACTCAAAGGGTGTATACCCTGTAGCGGTGTGCGGCGTTGTGTTATATATGAACATTGCGAACGATATCCATTCGTCCCAATCAGTTTGGTCCTCATTTATATAATGTCTTAGATACTCTGTTAATGTTCGATGTGATCGTTCTATCGCACCGTTACTTTCCGGGTGATACGCAGTTGTTGTATTTTATTATATTGTATTTTATTTATTTTCAATAGTTTACAAGTATTCTTAAATATTTCGCTAAGGAAATTCGTTCCTTGATCTGTTAAAATTTTTTCCGGTATCCCGTGTTCGAGTATTATTTTTGTAACAAATTCTTTACTAATGGTGTTTGCTTCTTGGTTCGGAATCGGAATTGCTTTACTAAATTTAGTTAAATTGTCTTGGAAAGTCAATAAATATTTATTTCCATTATTAGTGACAGTTAATGGTCCGACTATATCTAATGCGCATTTTTCGAATGGTTTACTTGGCGTGTCAGTAATTATTAAAGGGACTTTGTTTTTTCTCGATAATTTATTTTTTTGACAAGATTCGCACTTTGCGATGTATTGTTCCACATCTTTTGTTAAACCTTTCCAATTGTGTTTTAATCGGATTCTTTTAATTGTTCGTTCGATTCCCTGATGCCCTCCTACAGGTGCATCATGATATTCTGATAATATTTGTTACTTCTCTTCCTCTGTATATATTTTTATATTATCAGTATCTGCTTCTTCTTCTTCTTCTTCCATCTTCAGAATTTCTTCATCCTTTTTTATGGATGTTCCGGGTATCGCGTTGCGACTTAGCGCGTCGGCGTTTGCGTTCGCTCGTCCGGCTTTATGAATTATTTCATAATCATATTCTTCAAGTTTCAATGTCCATCGGATCAATCTAGATCCGGGGTCGTTTACATTAAATAACCATATTAGTGGTTTGTGATCGGTTACAATTTTAAATTTCGTTCCATATACGTATGGTCTAAAATGTTTAACAGCCCATACAATTGCTAATAATTCCTTTTCTGTAGTATTATAATTTTGCTCCGCCTTTGCCAGTATTCTGCTGGTGTAAACAATCGGTCGGTCGTTGCCCACTTCTCCTTGTGATAATATCGCTCCGATCGCATAGTCGGATGCATCGGTGGTCACAATAAATTCTTCCGCAAAATCAGGATATTTCAGCACTGGTGCAGTCATCAATTTTTCTTTTAATGTTTCGAATGCTGCTTGCTGTTCCATTGTCCACTCGAATTTCTCTGTCTTTTTTGTTAATTTTGTGAGTGGCTTAGTGATTCGCGAGAAATTTTCAATAAATTTCCTATAGTATCCTGCTAGTCCTATAAAGTATTGAATATCCTTGACTTTTTTTGGCGTCGGAAATTCTCTTATTGCTGTTAATTTCGAAGGGTCTGGAGCTATTCCGTTTTCAGAAATAATATGTCCCAAGTAAATTACTTCTTTGCGAAAAAATTCGCATTTATCTGGTTGTAGCTTTAAATTAAATTTTCGCAGTCGTTGCAGCACTTCTTTAAGTCGCTTGTTATGATCGTCTAGACTCGATCCGTATATCACGATATCGTCGAGATAAACTAAGCATCTGAGTCCTTGTATTCCTGTTAGGACGGAATTCATTAATCTTTGAAATGTTGCTGGCGCATTTTTTAATCCGAACGGCATTCGATTAAACTCGTAATGACCGTAGGGAGTGGAAAAAGCTGTTTTCATTTTATCTCGTTCAGTCATCGGAATTTGATGATATCCTGATGCTAAATCTAATGTAGTAAAATATTTCGCTTTTCCTAGCTGATCCAGAATGTCAGTTATGTTTGGCAAAGGAAATGAATCGCCTATCGTTAGCTCATTTAGCTTCCGGAAATCTATTACCACTCGGAGCTTTGGTTTTCCAGATGCGTCTATCTTTTTCGGCACTACTAGCAGTGGTGCATTCCATTGACTTGTGCTAGTCCGAATAATTTCGTTTTTCAACATTTCATTTATTTGCTGATTGACTTCTGTCTTATGTTTTTCTGGCAAGCAATATGGTCTCACGTTCACCGGTGCGGTATCAGCACGTGTGTTTATTTCATGCTTTACCGTCGCGGTACATGTCAGTAGTTCTCCCTCTAAGTGGAAAACGTCACTGTATTCCTCGCAGATTTTAAAGAGTGTCCGCTTCTCTTCTGCGTTTAGATGCTGCGTTCGCAATAATTGTCAAATTTGATGCTTACGAGATATAGCATTTTTCATTTTTCTTCCCGTTTCTATGGTGTTTCTCTTTTACGTTTTCCTCCATGTCCTCCAGTGTAATTATGGGGGTTGCCAATTCAATGGTATTATCCGTTGTGTTCATTATGCTTACAGGACATGCAAAATTGTTTGGTTCCAGGCAGCTTCCAATATATACTCCTGGCGCTGTTTCGCTTGTACGGACTATTCCTATTTGATTCTGGTTTACAGCTGCTTTAATAATTGTCTCGCTGCATGGTTTCAGAATTATTTTTCTGCATGGATGCAATTTTAATATGCTATCCTTTATTTTTATTTGATTTCGTTTGTAATCGCAGGTTGCTGTTTGTTTTTTAAGAAAATCTATTCCTAGAATTCCTTCATGTTCTATTGCTATGTCATCCTTTACGACATAAAATGCATGCTTGATAGCACGTTTGTTGATTATAATTGTCGCGTACATTTTCCCTAGTGTATATATCCTATGTCCACTGATTCCTGTGAGCGCAATTTTCTTTTCATATATAGGTGTATCGTCCTTCAAATTTTTTAATTTAATTAGAGAAATTGTTGATCCGGAATCGTACAGCATGTTTATCGTTTCGCCCTTTGCTTCACGGATCGGTAATGATACTTGCAGCAGCTCATTTTTGGCTGACGTGTGCGTATTTTTAACATGTGTTATGCGATATTCTGAGGCAGGTCGCGGTTGTCTCTTTCTCGCTTCCTCCTCTTCTCCTTCGCTATCGCTTGAGGAGTCAGTGCTCTTTTTTCTCTGTCTATGCGGATTTTTTTTGCTCACGCATGCTTTCTTTATGCTTTATTTTATTAATTGGCTTGGAATCACGGTTTTTAGTGTTATTTATTTTAGGATGTCCGTTCAAATTCCAACATTCCTCACGGGTGTGTCCTGTCTTTTTACAATGCTTGCAAAATTTATTCACGGTATTTACTCGCGAATTTTTTTCTGGTTTTGGTAACGTAAATTTACTGTTTCGACAGTCGCGTCCGTAATGTCCATTTTTTCCGCATTTAAAGCATTGGATATTCGGATCTCTATTCGCTCGCGTTGGTTTATTGTCATTTTTATTTTTATTTGCGAAACCATAAGCTCGGGTGCCTGTTGATCCAATAAGTTTTTCTTCCATGCTCGCGCTGTTTATCGCTTCCTGGAGCGTGGTATACCTTTGTGAACGTACGAGAGTCTTTAATTCTTCTCGCAGTCCAATTTGATAATTTATTAAAGCTTGTTTTTTAATCATTTCCTGGATTGCCCTTTTAAAGGTAGAGAGTCGTTCCTCTCCTTCCATCATGAATTCGTATAATTTCATGGCTATTAAATCGACACGCTGTCCGAAAGCGTAAGCACTTTCACTTGATTTTTGTTTCAAAGAGTTGAATTCTATCTGTAAGTGCGTCGTACTTTGTTTCGCCTGATAGCAAGCTTCGATTGTTGCTTCAATTCTTCGAAGGTTTGTACGTCTCGCGTTTCAAAATCTTGCATAGCTTTTCCTTTTAGCTTAGTATACAGAATTGCTTGCATCAATGACTCTTCATCCGCGGGATTAATGTTTTGTACCGCGTATGTACAAGCGTTCAGAAATTCTTGTAATTTATGTCGCGATGTTCCGTCAAACTCGGGAATCATTATTCGCGCTTCTTTTAATGGTAAGTAGTGCGGGGTGGCGCTACGTCTATTTCTTATATCTCTTTCAGTGCGGCCGTATGTTATATCGAGGGGGACATCGTCTGCATTTATTCGTGTTTCATTAGTATTTCCTCGATTAGTAAGCATATTGTGCATTTGTTCGCGTAGGTTTATTATTTCTACCTGCATTTCGCGAAAGTTTTGTATGAGTTCGGCTAACAAGATATTACTTGTGCGCTCGGCCGGGTGGACGCCGGCATCCTCATGGGTCGCGGCGGCACCTTGTTCGGCTTGTTGCGCTCGCATGCGCTCGATTTCTCTTTCAACAGCTTCGTGGTTCATATTTCTTCCCGGATTTAAAATACTAAGGTCGACGGATAATGGCGAATAATTTCTTCTGAATGTTACTTGATTAACGCGTGATCCGTTTTGTTCGGAAGTATCAATATTACGCGCTTCGGGTGACTCAGAACTCGGATAATAATTTTCTAAATTTTTTCGCACGCTATCTCGTATGTCGCGGACAGCTTCTTCCGTTACTTGTATCGGTGGTACAAGTCCTGACCTATTCTCTAATCGCGTTGGCTCGCTTAGAAATCGCGGGTTTTGAAACCTAACTCGCTTTGTTGGCTCCGACATTTAATTGTAAATTTTGACTTACATTAGTAGTACAATGGCTCGCATGGTCGCGTATCGGGTTGCTATTCGGATCGCTCGACTGCTGACGCTGCTGGATCGTTGTTGTCCCGCGTTGGTGCGTTGTACGTCGGCGATGCGTTGTCCGTCCGCGTTGCGTTGCTGTTCGCGAATGAGTTATTCGACACGATAGGCGCGACAGAAAAGGTCTTGGACTCGGACACTGCACAATTGAGAAAAAACAAGCCACGACACGTATGATTTTTTTTGTACTTTTAATAGTTTTATTTTGTAACACCACACGAAAAATAAAGTTTCACACAAAATATATATATAATTTTCAGAATTCGAAAAGTATAGCCGAAATCAGTTCCAGTAAATCGAGAGGAAAGTCCAAGTGAAAAAAGCGGTCGAATGATACTGCGGTTTACGAAGCGAAAAGTGCGGTTTAGCGAAAAGTGCGGTTTATCGAAAAGTGCGAGACTTCCTCGTGCCCTCGCGCTGGGCCCATTATATACCGGGCGGATTTTGGGCCTCGTTGCGACGTGGTCCAATTAACTTTAAAATTTGGCGGTGACCTCATGGCGCCGCACATAATTGGCCGCCGATGAGGTCAGGAAATAGGCGATTAACATTTGTCATGCGTACAAGTTTTTCCGATCAGCTGATTGGCGATCAGCTGATCGTGACGTACGGGCGCGCATGCCCGTTCGTTGCGCGGATTTCGGAGACAGTTGACAATGTTATTGTCAACTGTTGTCACTGAGCGTTTTTGTGCGGCGCAAAAAAAAGAGAGATGACTTGAACGGTTGGCTTTTTGCCAACAATCGATTTTTCGAGAAGTTTCTCGTCGCCCGTTAATTTCGAATTTTCGGGATTACAATAGAAAATGCGGATTTCATTGGTACGCGAAATTTTTCCGCATATGCATTTCGAACACGTTGCCTTGACCATGGATCGACGCTGGTCCTTGGGCGCTGGTGTTTCCTTTCAGCTGCTTGGCCGTGATTTCTTTTTATCACTGTCGTCCGTATATGTTACGTGTTGCCGTTTAAGTCTATCTGCTTTAGTATAGCAGTGGCTCTATTTGATTTGTTAATTCTGTGTTTTCTTTTCTGTTGCAGGAGTTAAGGAGTTTTACTACAGTCCTTGATCTCGGCTATCCCATCGCTGCCACCAAAATGTTGTGCCCGGCACAGGGTGTGGGGTAGCCGGGAGAGGAAAATAATCGCTCCAATTATTTAACAACAGAAATTTATTACACAGAATATACTTATTTATCCCTTATCTTTAGTCGGTTTTCTCAAGCCTTAATGTCGTCCTTTCCTGGATCCTTTCGTGATTAGTAATTATGTCAGGGGCTTCGTAGCACGGTTTGGCGGCTAGCCCTCGGGTTCGCACTATTTCTTATTAACGGTTGTTCTCGTTGCACAATTTAATGATTAGTCTTCGCACTACTCTGACTATAGATTCACTGTTTATGACTGTCCGCCGCGGATCCGCGGGATGGCTTTTATTCCCTCAATTTTGGGGATTTTTGGAGGGGATCGCCCGGCGACATGACTATGTATGATCATGGAGATTTTTCCGGGTCGTCCAAAGTCCAAGTGCTAACGAAGAAAGTTCAAAGTTGAATTCCTTCGTTAGCGTTTTCGCGCTTCCGGGTGAACGTTTTTACGCGTGGATCGCTGATGCAGCGGTTCTATCAGGCTGCCGCATTTCCCAACAATATTTCGTGCTGACACTTATTTTAATTATATATAGGTACTAATATTTAAATAGGTTATAGTCTGCGAGACTATAACAGACTTTATACTACTAATCTAAGTTTTTGTGCATTATCTAATTTATTGTAACATGCCAAATACAGGCAGGTCATTAAATCGTAGAAGTCTATATAGAAAAGCAAGTAAAAAAGCAAATTTGGCTTTTATTTTAATTAATTATTTTGAACAAGATTCTGTTGCCACCAATTCGCTTAATATAACAAATAATTCGGATTTACATGCTGTAGCATTAACTAGTAATACTTGTGCAGACACATGCAATATACAACACAATTTTTCTATCAGTAGTGTATGTGAAAATGAATTTTCAAATATATCTGATACTGAAATGTTTGATAAAGGAATGTCAAATAAATAATAAATAGAATGTGCTAGCTCGGTGTGTTTAAACAATTATAAGAATTAATCTAGGCTTATACGAGCAATTTAAACAAATGGATGTTGAAATATAATTTTTATTAATTGAAATCACAGCGTAATAAATCTAAGATGAGAACGCATACAAATCTAGAAATAAAAATATAACAAAACATAAGAAAAATTATAAAAAAACGCATTGGGACATTTCGACAATTACTTTTGTCTCTTCAGCCAATATTAATAAATTTTAAACTGAATTGGATATTGTTCAAAATTTAAAATAATCATTCCAGATTAAAAATCGCATAGCGAAATTCGCATATTTTCGCTGTTAAATGTTCGAAAATTTAAAATTAACGGGCGTCGAGAATCTTCTCGAAATATCTATTTATTAGAAAAACTCGAATGTTCGAGTTATCTCTCTTTTTTTGCCACCGGAAAAAACGCTCATCATCGCCGCGAACAATATTATTGTAGAGTCCCTATAATATAGAGTCTGGCCACTCATCGTACCTATTTTTATTGGTTCAGCTCGCAAGCCCCTCAAAATGGCGGAACCAATTACAGTGCAGGGATTGTATATAGATTAAATTAAATTTAATTTAATTTAATAATAAAATTTTATTTAAATGCAGAATGCATGGCCATGGTTTTGCTACTATATTCTTTTTGTTTTAATTTACCTTTTTTACAAGAAATGCGCATTCTATATAAAATAAAACGTTTCATAATGTTAAACGATAAATTGTGACACGATTTTATATAACACATAATAGATTTCATTTTGTCCATGTAAAATGGAAAAACATTGCACATATTTTCTTTTACGTAAAGCAAATATTGACGAATAATAATTTCCATATTATAAAAATATGTGAACGTTTCATCGTTTACAAAGAACAATGTATTTTGGCGAAAGCACCGTAACTGAACAAGTTTTGCGTGTTTTTGATTTGCTAACGGATTTCACTGGTTATAAGAAAGGATATAATTCTTAACATTTTTATTCTACATTTATTACAAGTTGCTGATAAAAATATATATTCACCTTTATTATCTTAATATTTGTGTAATCATGGTATTCTATATGCAATTCACACGCGGTTAACATACGGTTAAGTTAACTTCGATATTCACTGTGCCAATACGAGTCTTCCCCACCACACAATGACGCCATTTTGAGGGGTAAGTGGCCAGACTCTATATTATAGGGACTCTATATTATTGTCAACCGTCGTTGAAATTTACGCAGCTCATGGGCATGCGCGCCCATGCGTCACGATCAGCTGATCGCCAATCAGCTGATCTAAAAAGATTGCGCGCATGACAAGTAAATAATATCCGACGTCAGACCTCATCAACAACCAACGCGCCGCAATGAGGTCACCGCTAAAAGATTAAATTAATTGGTCCACGTCGCAGCGGGCCCAAAAATCCGCTCGCTATATAATGGGCAGCGCGCGTGGACCAGTTAAGTCTCGCACTTTTTCGCTGCTCGCAGTATTTTCGTAGAACCGCTTTGTCAAAACCGCTTTGTCTAACCGCTTTTAAAACGACCGCTTTCTCACTCGGACTTTCGCACTCTCGGCTTCGGAATTATTTCGTTACCTGAAATAATTGTACTCATTTTATTTGTGTAAAACTTTAATTTACTGTGTGATGTCAAATAAATCTCAAAAAATCTCAAAAAAATTACGTGTCGTGTTAAGTCTTTTAGCGTTTAATATTCTGTTCGTGGTCGTCCGTTTGCCGCATTCTGTAAAAACTGCGCTGTCGCAGCGATCCGCGCTCACTCGCGAACAGATATTAAATCGGGCTTGTAGTTACTTGACGTTACGCATTTTGTAAAGTGTGTTGGAAAGTCGGATGGTGTCTTCGGTCGGTCTCCGAATGCAATGATTGTTGTAGAAATTGATATTTGTCTATGTAAAAGATGTCGATTTTTGTCAGATTGAAAGAATGTGGTTATTCAAGTCAAAATTAGGTAGTAGTCATAATTTAAATAAATCTCTTATCAATTTCCGCATTTCTCATTGCAGAGACTTATGAATAATGACACGAGTTTCTGATTTTATTTTTAACGTTGATATTATATTGAATTGTGTTTCTCGCTTATGATGGATAGATACTGACTCTGCGCGGATATACAATGTTATTTATAAGGAGTCTATGTTATTGTTTTTAAACGTCACTCGCACAATTAAACGTCTTTTGATGATTAACGTTCAACAGCGGAAAATATGCATGATCCAATAAATCGCTGTCCTCCATGATGTTTAAACCATTTTTTTGTTTGTTTATGTGAATTGATTCTGCAATCAATCTTTTGTAATAGTGTGGTTCACTGTCTAATATTTTTGTGTTCTCCCAATCTATTGTATGGTTTTTATCTAAAATATGTTTGGATATGACCGAAAGTTTTGCGTTAGGTTGGTAAAAATTGTTTTTATGTTCTTTTATTCTGGTTTTTAATTGTCTTTTCGTTTGTCCTACGTATGTTGCATCACAGTCCTTGCATTGAATTTGATATATGATATTATTGTTACGGAATTTTATCCTTATGAACTTTAATGAATTTAGTTAATCGATTAAAACATTTGTATCCTATGTTGAACGCTGTGTTTTTTAATGGTTTTCTAACTAATTCAGACAGGCCTTTTATGTAAGGAATGGCTATACATTTTTTTTCCTTTTCCTCCTTCGTAATGTCTGTCGTCTCTTGTGTCTCTTGTGGGTTGATTTTCAATTTATTGTTTATTAAATATTTAATTCTTTTGTGAGCGTGTTTGAAGATGAAATCTAATGGAAATCCGTTGTCCATTAGTATGTTTATGTGTAATTGTAAATTTTTTTGATGGAATGTAGGATGGGAGAGTAGTAATGCTCTGTCAATCAAGTTGTATACGATTCCTATTTTATGACACATAGGATGATTGGACAGGTATGAGAGGTATCTTCCTGAATACGTATCTTTGTGGTACCAATCTATTATCATATGGTTGTTAGTGTCTATAATGATTTTTAGATCCATGAAGTTTAAACTCCGATTTTTTTTCATTTCCACAGTGTATATTATTCTATTGTGGAAGGAATTAAAGGTATCTAAAATCGTTTGGATTGATTCTTTTTGAGTTGTTAAAAATATGTCGTCTACATATCTGTAATAAATTTTGATTGTTTTCCTTAGTTTGAATAGTGCTTTGTTTTCTATGTCTTGAAGGACTATGTCTGCTATTATGGGGGACAACGGTGATCCCATGAGTGTTCCGAAGATCTGTTTGAATATTTTATTATTAAAGGTGAAGTATGTTAATGAAAGAAGAAATTTGATTATGTTGAGAAATTCTTTTTTTGGTATGTTTGTTGAATTTTTTATGTATGACCATCTATTATTTATTCCTGTCAAAGCCAAATCTATGGGTACATTTGTGAACAAAGACTTGACATCTAACGAAATTAAGATGTCGTCTTTGTCCACTGTTGTTTTTGAGAGTATATTATATAGAGAAAAACTGTTTTTTACGTGACTGCGTGCTTTTAGGAGGCTAACATCTAATATTTTTCGGATAAAATTTCCTAAGTTATACAGAGGGCTATTTATTGATGAAACGATTATTCTCAATGGGTGACCTTCTTTATGAATTTTTGGGATACCGTATGCTTTTGGACGGTCACTAGATCTCAAGTTGTAATATTGTTGTTTTGTGATGTAATCTTTGTGGAGCCACTCTTTCATAGATTTATTGAGTGCAGATTCAATGTTCTTGATCGGGTTCTTAATGATTTCTATATATGTGTTTTTGTCGTAAAGGAGGTCATTCATTTTTCCGTTGTATGAACTTCTTTCCATGGCTACTGTTATATTACCTTTATCTGCTCGGGTAATTAGAATTTCCGGATGTTCTTTCATGAACTTGGAACTCATTCTATGTAATTCTATTAGTTGTCTGTCTATGTCTGTTGGAGAATATGTTTGCTTCATAAACCTCTGCAACGTGGGGATGATATGATTTCTAATTTCAAATCTTTCGTTGATTTTACGTGATTTTATGTTGCTTTCTATATCCTTAATA